GCTAATATATGGTATGTAATAGGGCTTAGTGAGGTTAGGAGGATAGATGAAGCTGATACAGTGCTATAGCATGAGCACGTTCTTTGCCATCTTGGCTTGGCTGAAAGGAGAGAACTGGGCATGGTGTTCGTTATCCACAGAAATATAGTTGGTAACAAAAATGAATATACACCTATAATGAAAAGGTGGTAGGTATCATAAAAAAGTCACAGCTTTTCCGCAAAGGCAAAGCAATGAACGCTATAGCAACAAATTGGAAGGTCACGCTCATAATTGCAAGCAGATCAAAACGTGCTCCGCTTTCTCACGCACAAATGATGCACAAAACGCACTCACAGGTAAAGATGAACGCGAATAAGCGTCTCAATTGTTACTTCGCTGTGTCTGAAAAACGTACCCTTTTCGCAAACGGAGGCTGTGCAATGATTCCAGTGACCTTTGTGCGCCCCGTAACTGCAAAAAAAATTGTTCCATGCACGCCCAACGCCAGCCAAGACGTATAATCCTGGCCACTGGGAGATAATGTCGCGGAAGAGATCGTCTACTCCCCTAATCTGCACGGGCCAAAGTACGCTTGAGAGATGAGAGCCGCCGCGCGTTCACTTCCTCATCTTCCTGGTAATGCTGAAAACACGGTAGTCCCCGTCCCCCCGAGATGACCGTCAACAGCGGTAAGAGGTATATGTAAATTGTTTGCCGTTTAAACGTGGAAGGAGGTACCCCTCGGTGGCTCAGTGGTTAACGCCTCGCATTCACGACGTGGACGCTTCGCGTTCGAGTCCGCACGCAAGCGCCTTTTTGCATGGATTCTTTTCTTTCTTGCGTTTTTATATATATACCACCATTCGTAAACGGCGCACCACAACGATGCCGGCTGCAAAATCCAGTCGAGAGTGTCCCTATAAGTGCTATCGCAATAATTAAACTTAATGAGAGATACAAGATGAAGGTAGCATAGGGCTACGCCCCTACATCAATTCTTGATGATGCGCTAGTTGAAATCTTTTATGAAGACGTGGAATCGGCAATGAGTAAAGTAAAGACACAGTATACTATACTGATGGGTGAACTAAATGCCAAAGTGGGGAAGAAGCAGGCTTGAGACCAGGCATTTGGAGATTATGGCATTGGCACTGGAAATGCCAGAAGGGAGTTATTAGTACAATTTGGAGAACGCCATATTTGGCGCATAATGAATGTCTTCTAGCGAAAACGAGGGAACTGTAAGTGGTCATAGAGGAGCCCTAATGGCGAAAGTAAGAACGAGTTGGACTCTATAGTGAGTGCACACCCACGCATTGTGCACGATATGAAATTGCTTGGCAAGGTACGATGCATTGACCAAAGAATGGTATGGTATCGAATTCGGCTAGACCTAAAGAAGGAACGACCGAAACTGATACGCAATAATCCAATGAGCTAGCTTTGAGAGGGAAAGTACAGGAATTCAGAGTCTAGTACACGGCTGCTATCGAAGAGACCAGCCTTAGCGTTAACGCAAGGTATGATAATCCGACGACTATTTCTACGGGTTGCACAGGGGAAGTTGGAGGTATGGTAGTTAGACAGGACACTGGCAAGTTGTCCCAGGAGACAAAAAGCTCATTAAGAAACGTCCAAGCACAGAAGCCTCAATTACCACTGACAAAAATTGGTACAAATTTCGGTCTATTTAACAGCACTTTTAAAACAACTTCATGAATATTTTGTACACTGATATATTCACATGATGCTGTATTATGAACTGCACGTAGGCGTGACACTTGTATTTGTAAATGGTCACATTCTGCCGTCCATCTCGCGTTAGTTATCTGGCATTCGTTCAACTTGATCTGCTGGGGACCTCTTCCGGCCAACCACAACAAGCATCGCCTTAGGTCGGTAAAATGGCAACTGCAGTACTTCACTTCTTTAATGCTGTCGTGAGAATGAAAAGCTAAGTCTATTCATGTGTTGTGGTATGTAGAAACAGCATTTTCTTGAAGAGCCGTAAAGTTACTCACAATGCCTCACAGATGACAGTACATTATGTAGCGTTTGCTGTTTGCTTGATCGATGCCCATAGAAAGGCATATGTTTTCCGCTGGATGTACTTAGTTGTCTATTTTTAGAGCTGTTTGAAAGTTCCCGTGCGTTTTAGCGGTGATGGGGGCACTATCCCGGCCTTTTACGACATAGTTTGAAGGCCTCTCAAATGCGCCTACAAATTGCCGAATGGGCTCGTTTTCGCCGTGACACCTGTCGAACAAATGCGTTAAGGAGACTCCTTCCCCGACGTGACATTTATGTAGTGTTTTTTCCCGTAGCAACTGCAAGTAACACCATGGCTTTGTGGTAGAACACCTGCTTGCCACGCGAACTGCCCGTATTTGATCCTCAATGAGTCCGAATTTTTTTTAGACGATAGTTTTTCTTGGGGACCTTCGACCAAAAAACTTTGGTCTGTCTGTCTGTCTAAACATCTGTCGGTTTGTGTGCCCTAACGATACCTCAAACGGCATCCAACGGCCAACCCCATCCGCAGCGCCCACCAATATTGCTCAAGGTTTAGCGTTCATAGTTGTGCGATTGTCAATTAAAAATCGATTATTGCGCATATCTGAGGTGCCACAATAACGCTTCGATGTTTTCTATGTCTGCCTTTATACTAGAAGAGGCACACACAAGTTACTCTAAAGAGTGTAGCGTTTAATCGCGCTGCGCTGACAGTGCAACGCATTGCTGAAAAGGAAGTTTCCAATGCTTTGCTACGACGTCACGGTTGTGGCACCCGCCCGTCGCTTTGCGTTCTACACCTTATCACCCCTGAGACTAGCGCGCATCTTTCTCCGCGGGCTGCACGCCTTCGTTTTCGAAGATAACTGACAGATGGCACTTCTGTCAAACGTGCCTATTGCGCTCGTTCGCCTTCGCCACACGCTCGAGGCACTCTAACGCAGCGCCTGCAGAATACCATTCACCAATTTTCTTGCGCAGAACATCAAATAAACGTTTCGTTCACTCTCTCCAGATGCAAGACTATCGTCTTTCGACGATATTCACAGTGTAACATGTGGATTTGGGCCAATTATTTGTTTGCTTCTTTTTTAATTTTTCGCTCAGAACCAATGGTGCCGACGCTGATGGCGGACTTTCTGCGACACAAGCTCTCTAACCCTATCGCGTTAATAGAAGTGACATAACTTTTGAAGCTGAATAATAAGCGTAACACATCCGATGTAAGAAGGCATAACATGAATAGAATTTAACACGTTCTAAAGAACGAAGGAATCGTCAAAGTGGGGAAGAGGAAACTTGGGATAGGCAAAAACCAGATCTATGTACTAAGGGACAAGGAAGGCAAAGTAACTAAATATATGGATAGGATAGGGAAAATAGTGGAGTTTTACAGAGATCTGTAGAGTAGCTAGGACAACCACGACGTTAATATAAAAACTAGCAGTAACCAAGATGACAGCCAACCAATAATGACAAAGTAAACTATCGTAAATGGACGTTATAACTGAAAACAAAACAGTGTGGCCGAAGCAAGTGAGTCATTGCAGCGGAAAGTCGCGGGTGTTACGGGTCGGTGCTCTGACATTAGATGCGCTCGTGCTGGCACATCGGCGAAGACGGAGAAAGCTACGCCTGATGCCTTGTGTCTTTGGGATGAAGAACCTTGAAAAAAAGAAACTTCTTATTCGTCTCGTGTAAACACGATATCAGTATTAAACAGTGGGGACAATGGAATGCAACGAAAAAAATGTCAAAGAAAGAGATGCCGAATTCAAAAAGTAAACCATTTTTAACAGCTTTTAGATGACCAGCCCTCCTTAATAGTCACCATCCCGTTTGGCCGGCGTCAGACAAATTGACAATGAATACATCATTCGCGAAAGCGGCACTTTTGCTACAATTATGGACGCAAATCATGCGATTCCAAATAAATAAATCTGCAAGGCGGAGAATGAGTCATGAAGTTTTTATATCAGGGTTGTTTTCTGACTTCTGAGCTTTATTTTCAGTTTAAAATTTACAATTTCTCTATTTCAAAAACCTTCGTCCGTCCGAATTTCATAGTTCTGGAAAAACTCAAAGGTTGCTGGGTATTTTATTTTCATATCATTTTTTTATTTGTTGAACCATACAATACAAAAGATCATCAGGCTGCTTGGACCCGTAGCCATTGGCTAGTCCTGGGTCCAAAAAGAAGATGTATACAGTGATGTAGGCTTACTGTTACATAAAAAAACTAACACTCAGAAACACAGGGTGTTCAACAGTACAACTACAAGCATTTTTAGCATGCGATCTTCGTGCCAAACGGCAATAGTGTCCAAAGGTGCACCAACGCAAGCAAATCACTAAAGTGTACATAATAACATAAACAAGACAACTCAGAGATATATTAAGTATTTGCAGTAATTATGCTGCTTTTTGTCATTTCATGGGTTCGAAACGCAAGGCATTTTAATTAGGCAGACTACACTTTGGAATATTCATAGAATCAATGTGTTACCCCCTCATACACGGCTTGCTTGAGAAATGTAGTGATTGCTTGACGAATATGTTACGCGGACCTATTTTGTATATTCCCAATTGTTTCCATATTAAAAAAAACGTATATATACTGTGCTATCCTTGCCTAAAGTTGATCTCTCATCATTGCATTGGTCTATCAAATTACAAAAAAAGTGAGTGCTCACAGTGCCGAGGAGTACGAGTATGTCGCATGAAAAATGTATACCTATATTTGATTTGGAACATTTATGCTATCATCGTATATGTGAAATCGGTTGGAGTTGGCAGTGAGCTCGCTACAAACTTCTAATATATTTATTTATTTCCATTTTTCTATTTTGGTTCAGATTTCATTTCTCACGGACATGCCATGCATGTCAGTGTATATGCAATGTGAGGGCGTTTTTTCATTGCACATGTAGGTGAGGCACCAATAACCATTGTATGTACGAAAAAAAAAGACGACTTTGTCGAGGCTCTCGCGGACATGTTCTCACCTCGAGCAAAACGCAGGCCGCTGCTCCACTCAGCGCAAGAGGCCGGTCTCGCCGCATGGTGAGTTTGGGTGCGGCCAACTTCGATCGAGAGAGAGCCGATGAAAGGTAGCACCTGCGGCAGGTAGGAATGACGTAACGATAGGATGACACTCGAGTCGGCTCTTCTCGCCCATTGCACAAAGCACTGAGAAAAGCTTTTAAAAAGGTTAAAAAATAGCATCGTTATGTTTGCGGGTGGCTGGCGAGCTGCAAGGGTCGAAATAGGAGACGTTACGGCCGGCTCCCTCCAAGGATGTTTCGGGGCGTTTCACTGTACCAGCGTCATGCGGGTAATCATGGAGACACTCGGAAAAACTTGAACGAGCGATGCAACGTAAGAGTTATTGAGAGTAATAGCTAAGCGGCTCAGTGGGCCAGCGAAGCCATAATTGCGCAGCGCAGAAAAAGGGAAAAAAAAACAAGAGAAGGAAACAGGACAAGCGCTTGACGAGTGCCAGTGAATAAGGGGAACAGAACAAGCGCCATCGAATGAACAGAACACAAATTGCACATGCGCGGCACCCTGAGCAAGCCAGCGATTTTACGGAGCGAGGCGCTCGCCCACTCATTTCGCCCAAAGGAGCACGCGAGCGTTCCCCAGGCAAAGCTTTTGCTCGACCCACAGTAGTTTGAACCGTGCTCAACAGGTGGCACTGCATTGTGCTCTCGATTAGGGTGCCTTGATGCCCGCGCGCTCCGCTGATGGTGAGGACAGCCGCGTCGTCTGCTACGACGGCCGCCATTACGGCTCCTGCCGTAGTGGGGCAGCATGCGAAGCGCATTACCGCTTGCGGTGCTCGCGTATGGTAGGAAAGAAGTACTCGTTGGCGAGCTGTTTTTTTTTTTGGTGCAACTTGGACACCTCTTAGTGCTGTTGTTGCCTAATTGTTAAATGGAACAACGCACGTCGTACAAACTGGTGGCCTGTGCTTGTACAATGCGCCAGGGGCTGACATAGACTGAATGAAATGAGCCACGAACTCCCACACCAGAAAGATTCGCGTTAAACCGTTGTCGTCGTTAAGACGGAGGGGCGCATGAACTTTTATTACTACGCTTGCTGAAAGGAATGCAATATTTGGGTCTTTGTGAATCAGCCGAATAGCAAAGGCAGGAATCGCTGTACTTTATATACTTGCGTGTGTGTGTATATAACACACACACACACACACACACACACACGCACGCACACGCGCACACACACACACACACACACACACATTATCTGATATTCGGTACCACCTTCCCCTGCCTCACCATTTCATGCACTGTGCAGGCAGCATACCCGAGAGTGACATGCTTTACCAGTGTACCTTTATGAAACGACACCCACGATTTCAGTGAACAGGCCATTTATTTGTGCGCCTTAATGCTGCGTTGTCCCACTAGTGAAAATCAAAGTCAGATACAAGACAAACCAAATGCAGTACGAAATGAAATGTTTAAAAATAAAAAATGCAAGAGTCAAAAGCGTGCCCACGTGAGCCGAAACCTTTTAAGCATACAGCTTATCTTGGCGTGTCCATTTCTCATGAGAGGTTGACGCCGGCACATGTTTTGCTTGCATGTCCATTGCAACTCCCGACTGGAACCTGCCGAAGGTGAATGCGCAGCCTTATTCTTGCGTACCTCTCTGTGAGCAGTCGGTATATACTGTCCTCGTGCTCCGCGCATACACACAAGCTGCGGCGGTGCACCTTGTTTAGGTATGCGGTGAGTGAACGAAGCGGCGACTTCATCGTGACTACTTTGTCCGTGCACCAAGAGTTTATGGCAGCAAAATGCTCCTCATAGTCTATGAAGGCTTTCATAACTCCCTTGCTGGGGTAGATGAGGTTGCCTCCATCTGAAACGTACTCTTTCAGTGCTGTCAGCGAAGCATGCTCGTCGTTGGCAGTTCCAAGGAGAGCATCTTTGCATTTTGCGCACTTCACAGATGTCAAAATTTCCTTCAAAATAAATCCTCCTAGGTAAAAGAGAATACTGCATTCTGTGGACGACAATCCTTCGATGAACAAAATCTCTGAATCATCGATTTCTTGAGCTTCCTTCTCGACGCAGGCTTCCTTCCCCTGGGATAGCAGGTCCACCAGGTACTCCCTGTCATCAAGCTCGTAGCTGGTCGTCCTCGGTGTATGCAAAAATCGGCTTACGCTCACCAGTCTCAGAGCGCACTTGAGATCGTAGGCATTGGGAACCGGCTTCATAAGCCGCCCCACAGAAAAGAGGTTCTCTAAGCAGTCCTGCAGGAGCCTGCTCGTAAGAAAAAACTCATAGCCTTCGTCTCCTAAAAGAACGTCTTGGAGGCGAAGTACAACTGTAGTTGATATGAGTACACCTGCTTGCGACGGTTTCCAATGGGAAGTGGCACCCATTTTCATAGTTCTGATGGTTTCTATTGCTGTGTGTAATGTATCTAGGGCTTCGGAGTACTTAGCCCTACTTCTCCGACTCAGGGCCAGTGTTGGATGCCGCGAAGACATCAGTGCATACCATTTTGAAATCAGCTCCACGAACCAAGCTGTTGTTTCTGCTTCCTGTTTAAGAACTCCTTCCTTTATAAGGAATCTGATAGCTGGGGGAGCTTCCCGAAAAAGTTGTACAGTGACACCAACCTTCATTTTGGTGAAGTGGCCTGCGCTGGTGTGCATTTCGGATAAGTTTGGGGCTACCTTCAGTTCTCTTTTAGAATCTTCTTCGAGCACAGCCTGAACATATTCCAAGTTGACTTGTGAAGAAGGCAGGCCATGTTTGGCAACTGTGGCCTCACTCAACGTGAAAACTTCTGAGCTCAAGAGCTGGCCTCTGAGGTTCTTCAAGACGTGAGCCGGATCAGCAATGAAAAAAAGTTCCTTCCCGTCCATGCACGGATGAGGTATGGAGCACACCGTGGAAGAATCTCTGTGACTGGAAAAGGCGAATTCCCTCCACATTGCGCGGTTTGCAGAGCCCATGTCACATGTGATTGCGTGAACTCTCAGATATATTTGACTGCACAGCTGTACTAGTTCCAACACATAGTTTTTCAGCAAGCCGCCATCGATGTTTCTTCCGGTAAATTCATATGCAATCACCTGCTTCCATCGCTGGTTAAGTCCGCTCAACATAAATACCAGAGCATGAACCGCAGGCTCTTCAGGCTTCGGAGGAAGAGTTATTCCTCCGAGAAGTGCGTCTTCAGCCCGATCTAGCTCAAACCCCGGCACTATCTCCATTTCATCCAAAAAAAGGACGCAGTCCTTTTCTACATCCTCAATGGTCTCGGCTTTGCATTTCATAACGTCTATCACTTCGTGAAGAACGCCTGGGAGAAACTTCAAATTTGAATCCTCCGTGCGAGCGTTCTTTTGGATGGGAGAGGATATCCCATTTTTCTCAAAGTTTCATATCCGGTTGTTCCACAAGCAAACTTAATTTGAAGGCCTTGCTTGACAGTGTGCGGAGACCAAGAGTTCCCCAAGCTGCTGCTCCTTGAGAGAGCGCGTACTTGATCGTCGTTGAGAAATTTCATATTTTGCGAAATATTTGTTGCCTCAGTCTCGAGTTTTTGCACTTTTTTCTTGAGACCACTAATGGTGTTCTTGGCTGTGTCATGATGTTGCTGAAGTTCAGAGTACTTTCTTGTAAGGTCAGCAAGCTTCTTCTTCAGTTCTGCTGATTCTGCAGTAGAATTTGATGTCTCACCAGCCGCTGCATTAACTTCTCTTGAATCTGCATCACTAGTGTTCGCTGACAGTTCAACAACGGCGTCGTCAACTTCCATGGTGTCGTGCCCATAACACGATGTTCCTTGCCGTGTAGATTCAGGAACGGCGTGGTTTTGTGGGGTCTTTAGGGTAGTTTTAACTGCAGCTGGATATTGACGCAGACCAGGAGGAGATTTGTTGGTCTCGTTGCTGGAGGGTGCAGGCACAGTTCTTTCTTTTGGTGGCTTTCGTTCCTTAGGCAGTGCTGCAAGCAGAAATGTATGTATTCATGAACATATTCAAGCAATGCCAGTTCATGTCTAGCTTGTTAATTTTACAAATGTAACACATGCAGCAGATACCCGCTTAGTTATTGACGTGAGGAAGACACTTGTCCTTCCCCCGCCCTTTCCACAAGGGATAGGGGAAGGTCTTAAAATACCATAATTAAATTGTGCTCAAAATTTCTCCCCACAATAAATGGCTCTAATTCAAATTGGAGCTTCATATGCCAGAGCTACACTATGCGCCGTTGTGGAGGGCTCAACTGACATTCGCTCCCTATGCAGTTTATTGATTATTTGATTGTAGGCCTTAACGCGCCAACGCAACGCAGGTAATGAGGCGCACTGTAGTGGGGGCTCGTGCCCCCACTACAGTGCGCCCCATTCTCGTATACATAATGGTTTCCGTTTTCCCCCTTTGTAAATAACATAGCCACTGCACCTGACATCCTAGCAGTACACGACCGTGTGCTAAGTAGCGGAAAACTGTTGTGCAGTGGGTCATGCCTGTAAACACTGAAATCCAGACGTATATACAGTCATGACCAAAAAATGCAAACAAGAAATATAAACCACAACACTCAAGTATCGCAATTTTTTTTTACATGCAAGTCAAAGTGATGCAACGTAATCACAAAAACAAAGTTGGGAAATCTAGCTTTCCAAACGCACTAATAGCGTGCCATTATTTGACCGTCTAATATTAGCAGTATTTTTCGATTTTGCGTGGTCTGGTTCACATTTTTGTGTTCGCATTTCCTAGCTTTGTCCGTGACTGCATATCCAGAATTTATGCACTAATGTGGACGCAGCATATGAGGACCTATTTGGTGTTAGCTTCGTAGAAATCCCAGGTACATAGAGTACTTGCAACTGGTGCTGCTTTATGTAATGCAAGAAAAAAGTTCAATCTTACGTTTGAATGTGAACAAAGTTGGGACGGCATTTGGTTTCAACTTCTTCCAGCCATCCGCACGATGTTGCTCATAGTTGTTCTCTTCAAAGTGAGCCTGCAAATAAAACCAGAATTGGAAATTAACACACTGGCAGAAGAAAAACGAATGTCTGTCACTGTCAATAAACAAGATTTCATGTATGCATTC